GAGACTGTAACAATAGACAGACATATGGCAGGTTAGGACCCACAGACACAGAATATTCCCAGCATGCATTAGTATTTCCTCCCCTCTGCCCTGGAGATAATTGAGAAGTAATTTAATTATTTCCAGGACAGAGGCAAATCGCCATCTTAAATTCAACATAGCAAAACATATAAAAATACATAACTTTACAATTGTCGAATGTTACCCATTCGTATCACATATCCCAGATAGCCTGGATCTGAGTGCATATTATTGGTGAATAGCGCTCAGATCCCATACGCACAGTTCAATCGCCATGGAGTCAAAGTCTATTACAGTCTTTCGGTATGCGATTGACTCCATGGGAAGGCTGTCTGGGGTAAGTCCATTCGTGCATTTAAACCTCCCGAACGGCCGGTGTTCTCACACTTCTGTCGATTGAGAAGGGAGGTCGGCGGCTTCAGCGGTGTTCGGCTGAAAAAGTGTCCGTTTTCAGTTCCATGAAATCAATGCCGAATACCGCTGGTCTTTCGCATGGTTTAAAATGACCACCGCCTCGTGGTCGACATATATGAACGACGACCACCCTGTATTCGGTTTTAATTGAGAAGTGTCTGTGGTTAACTGCAACGTTCTAATTGGGATCAAGATGTTAACCAGCAGCACACTTCTCTTCTGGGTTGCCGTCCGTTTGGTAGTTTTGTTCGGCGGAAAAGTCAATTCACTGAACAGGGGCATACAAACGGGTAATTCCACGAAAAGGCAAAAGAGACGAATCCAGCAATCTCAGTCTATACAGATGGATCTGTCACTAAAGGTAACAGGCGAGCAACCAGGCTTCTCCAATGCAATGTGGCGAGATTCCTCTCGTCACATCTCTCCCCTTTTCCAAACAGACTAACAGGGTATCTGACCTCCTGCCGGTCAGTGCCCTTGTTAGTCCAGCAGCCCACCCACAAAACACAATCAACAAAACAGCCCCCCCACAATAAATGGTTACTACACCCGGGTAGAGGAGAAGCTTGTCCATGTCCAGGTGCCTCACCACGGCTGTGCTGGGTACGGGTACGCTGACTTGGTGGGTTGCTGAGTGGGCAGAGACCAGCGGTACTCTGCCCTGGTGCCAGCACTACTGGGGCGGTAGCCTGGTTGAAGCTTGGTTGTTGGAGGGGGAGACCGACTGTCTCCCCTTTAGATACACAGCCCTGCTGCTGGAGACCAACTGTCTCCCCTTTAGACAAACAGCCCTGCTGCTGGAGACCGACTGTCTCCCCTTTAGACACACAGCCCTGCTGCTGGAGACCGACTGTCCCCCCTTTAGACACACAGCCCTGCTGCTGGAGACCGTCTGTCCCCCCTTTAGACACACAGCCCTGCTGCTGGAGACCGACTGTCTCCCCTTTAGACACACAGCTCTGCTGCTGGAGACCGACTGTCTCCCCTTTGGTTAAACAGCCCTGTCGCTGGGGGGCAGGACCGACCGTCCCTACCCCCTGTGCTATACGTGCAGAGACCACGGTCCCATCTGCACAGTTGTGGGGCTTACTGTCTCCCCCTGGTACATTAAGCTGCCGCTGGGGAGAGGGGGTAACAAGCTCCTCTCCCATACATACTTCCAGCCGCGGGGGAGGGAGACCGACTGTCTCTGTTTCCAATACAGAGTCCTGCTGCTGGGGAAAGGAGACTGGTGTCTCTATTCCCGGTTGGACACTCTGCCACTGGGGAATGGAGACTGGGCTCCCAATTCCCTGCAATTCACACTGCCGCTGGGGATCTGAGCCGACTGTCCAGCATCCATGTAGCTCACCCTGCCGCTGGGGAGGGAGGACGCTGCTCTCCTCTCCCTGCGAGGAACACTGCCGCTGGGGGACAGGATCACCTGTCTCTGCCCCCTGTAACTCAGCCTGCCGCTGGGGAATGGAGACTGGGCTCCCAATTCCCTGCAATTTCTCCCACTGGGGAATGGAGCTCGGGCTCCCAATTCCCTGCAATATTGGTGGAGAGACCTCGGTCCCATCTCCACCCGCCACCTGGGGTTCTTCCCAGTAAAACTCAACAATGTCTTCCCAGCTGAATGGGTCTGGAACTAGATCTGTCACCTTGCTGTCCTGCTGAGCCTTCCCAATGGAGTGGAAGAGATCTCGGTAGTCCTGCTCCAGTTCCCACTCCAGGGTTGCTAGGTGAGCCAGGTCTTGCTCTACCTCATGGGGGTCATCCCAGTCATGCCTAGCCTCCCTCTCGTAGAAAATGTCCTGAAGTCTGTTCTGCGCAGGGCTCCCGAAGTCAGACTCTGCAAAGGACTCCCATAACAAGCCAGGACCATCAAACTCCTCTCCCTCTGGCTTGTCATGCTCGGCTGTCCAGGGTATATACTGTGCCATATAACACCAGAGCGCCTGGTAAGCATCCTCCAGCCATAGCTCCTGCCATACCCGGTGCTTAAGTTCCTTCACCCATTCCTCCATGGGCTGCTCTCCCAGGAAGGGCATTCGCAGGGCCACTTGCTTCTGCAACCGCTGCTCTTCACTGGGGAGACTCTCACCCCGCTGGTATTGTACATTATCTAGGGCCTGGTAACAGATGCCTTTCCTTAATGCATCCCGGCCATCCAGGTCCTCCTCCTCGTATAACACTGCTGGTTCCATTCTGTTGCTTTTAGGGTCGCTGTACTGGGACATGCGTTGCCCCCAACTTGTAAATCCAAAGAAATGGTGTCTCCTGTAGCTGTCCTTCTGGCTGTAGGAACGATCCCACCGCTGCCACCAATTGTAACGGCACCCCCAGGCATAAAAGCGTTAAACCGCCATTTAGTAGATCTTCCCTTCCCAGAAGACAGCTACTGCAGAACACCAATCCGCTGAACAGGAAACCATACGAATGCTGTAAACAGCCGAATAGGAAAAACCATACGAATAGGTTTACACTCCTAGCAGTCAAACTGGAACAGCATACAGTAAATCCCCCCAAGAACGAGACAAAGCTCCATGTTGAGGGTCAAGCAGTGAACAGACAGAGCTGTGGGTTTATTGTACTTATGTACACATTCTTACACATTAGTACCACCCACAGGTTTTTGGAACACAACCAATAAAAACATACAATACACTCAGACACTCCCACACAAATTCCTCCCCTCTGCATGTGATTCAATTACCTTACACAATGGGTAATGTAATTTAGAACAAGCAGAGAAATACAATTTTTCCACATTATTCATAACTTGAAAAGTATGCATCACATTCACATAAACTTACATTTTCAGAATCAGCATACTCCAAATACAAACATACGTCAAAATCATACAAATTGGTCCAGTGGTTCAAAAGATAGATCGTAGTCCTTTGTGACCACAGGAAACATGGCTTTTCTGCCCAAAACCAGTTCCACAGAGTCTTCTATCCTGGAGATAATTGTGAAGTAATCAAATTATCTCCAAAGACAGAGGCAAAACTCCATTGAACACATGGCAGCAAAAGACAGTAAAATACAATAAAATACACAAGGTTACATTTATGACATAAAATACAGACATGCAACATATGCCCAGATAGCTTAGGTCTAAGCGCACATTATTACTGAATGGCGCTCAGAGCACACACATACAGTTCAATTGCCATGGAGCCAAAGTCTTTCCCATAGTCTTTCATTATACGAATGGGCTCCATGGCATAGCTATCTGGGGTATCACTGCTCAAACAGGGCAAGTACCAAATTACCCAGCTTTCTTGTCTTTGCAGGGGAAAATCAAGCCTTTTAACATGGGTCCATAATCCAAAGGCAACAGGCGAGCAACCAGGCTTCTCCAATGCAATGTGGCGAGATTGCTCTCGTCACAAATAGCATTGTATGTATGGTACACAGGGCCGTCTTTAACGCGGGGCAAACGGGGCAGCTGCCCCGGGCCCAGTTTCTCTTGGGGGGCCCGAGGCACCTGCCCCGTGGGCCCCGCTGACCCCGGCGGGCAGTCTGGGTGGGTGGCCGGCCGGTCGGGCAGGAAGGCGGGCGAGCGAGGGAGCACTCAGTGCTTCCTCTTCAGCTCCCTCGCGCACCGCTCTGATGCCGGAGCCGGAAGATGACGTCATCTTCCGGCGCCGGCATCCCTACGCGGCGCGCGAGGGAGCTGAAAAGCTGTGATGCCTCGCCGCCGCCACCTTGACCAATAAGAATAACAACACCACTGGACCCCAGGGAATCCCCCCAGCACTCCAAAAGGTAAGGAGGCTGGGGGGATTACATTTTTTAAAAAAAATGTGTTTGTGTGTTAGTGTGTGTGTGTGTTAGTGTGTGTGTTTGTGTGTGTTTGTTTGTATGTGTGTGTTAGTGTTTGTGTGTTAGTGTGTGTGTGTGTTTGTGTTAGTGTGTGTGTTTATGTGTGTTTGTGTGTTAGTGTGTGTGTGTTAATGTGTGTGTTTGTGTATATGTGTTAGTGTGTGTGTATGTGTGTTAGTGTATGTGTGTATGTGTGTGTGTGTCAGCATGTCTGTGTGTGTGTCAGTATGTCTGTCTGTCTGTGTGTCAGTATATATGTGTGTGTATATCTGTGTGCGTCAGTATGTGTATGTGTCAGTATGTCTGTCAGTGCGTCAGTATGTCTGTTAGTGCATGTGTATGCATGTGTCAGTATATCTGTCTGTGTGCCAGTATGTCTGTGTGTGTGTGTGTGTGTCAGTATATCAGTCTGTGTGTGTCAGTGTTTCTCAGTGTATGTGGGTGTCAGTATTTCTGTCAGTGTATGTGTGTCAGTATGTTGATCAGTGTATGTGTCTGTGTGTGTGTGTCAGTATGTCGGTATATGTGTCTGTGTGTCGGTATGTCTGTATATGTGCCTGTGTCAGTATGTCTGTCAGTACGTCTACCAGTGTATGTGTCTGTGTGTGTGTCAATATATGTACCTGTGTCAGTATGTCTGTCAGTGTATGTGCCTGTTTATCTGTATGTAGTCAGTGTATGTATTTGTGTGTCTGCTTGTGTGTCAGAGTGTGTACCTGTGCATCTGAGCCGCAACTTTAAATACAAATACACCCCTCCATTCAAACTTCAACACTACATATAAAACACACTCCTGCATTGAAACGTCAACACTGCATACAAGCACACTCCTACATTCAAAAACAAACACTACACATAAATGCACACTTGCATTCAAACTCCAGTACCACATACAAACACATTCACACAAACATACTCCATACAAACACATGCTTACATTCAAACATACTAACATGGCTCAGTGCTAAATACAACCCTGCAAGCATAGGAAATTGGTAGAGTCCCAGCTGTCAAAGCATTGTTGGAGTTGCACGACAGATGGGGTTCTACCTTTAGTCCAACCTTGCAATTGGGGGTCCCAATAAAATTAATTCTATGTTAGTACCGCCACTGCGTTGGGATGGATGCCGTGATTGCATAACAGGGAGTGAGGGGCGAGAGCGGCAGGGCGCAGGGGGCCCAAGCGAAAAATTGCCCAGGGTCCATTCGTTATTAAAGACGGCCCTGATGGTACACTTTTCCTTTCTTATATAAAATAAGTATTCTACTCTTATTTTATAGAGCACAGGCCTGCTCTGGTGTAGTAGGGCGTTGGTGGTGCAATCCCCACCTAGGATATGTAGAACTGGAAGTATAATGGAATTCAGGAAACCGTAAGATTTAAAAAGTAAATACCAAATAAATTCAAATCTTAAATTTAAAGGAGAGAGCGATATCTGAAGGTGTATATCTTAAAATAAAAAGGACACAATATTAGTGCAATATATAGTAACAATAGTGCAGATATATCTATAGTGCCAAAGGAACACTCACACTTTATAGAGCTATATAAGCTCTATTCCTTGAGCCTGGATGCAATAATCCCTGTGTATGTATCTCTTTGTATATATCAGCACTGCTTGGCTCTCAAGTGGGTAGAGGTCATCATATATAAAGAGACCCGATCTGCAAGCATTCGCTTTTGCTAAAGCGTCAGCGAAACGTGTCAAGTGAGGACTATACTATAGGACTGTTTTTTTTTACTTAACACTTATTTATCACTTAATTTTAAATTTTTGTTTATTTATAATAAAGTACTGTAACAGAACCCCTGTTATTTCCTGGTCAACAGACTTGAAACATTGTAACCCCTGGATTTGTTACCCTTGTTATATTTAGCATACGAATGGGAAAATGAATGACAGTGCTAACCCATTCGTATGAACGAACAAACTGCCGAACCACAGACCACCCAGCCTAGGCGTGTGTTCTTGACTCTGTGCCAGACTGCAAACCGCAAACGTTCTAAGTGGTTCACTGGGTGGCCGTCGATTCGTATGCACGAACACGTGGCGGTGGCCATCTTGTTTTGTTCAACGCGTCCAGCGGTGTTTGGTCGCTGAGACTTCCAGGACAACTTAGCTCCGCACAGATTCATACGACTGAGACGGCGTTTGGTAGAAGTATTCCACGAACAAGGTGGCACACGACCATCAAAGGCACGAACAATAAAAGGCATAACTGTTCGGTATTTTAATTGTATGAAAAGAGACCTGCCGCAAGAGCTGAACGCATGGAACTATTTTGGGCAGGGGCCTCATGTTTCGGCCGGGCAGGGATGGGACTTCAATCTATCTCGCGAACCCCTGAACCGATTCGTATGATTTTTGAATATGTTTGTTCCCTAATTATGCTTGTTCGGACAATGTAAGTTTTATTACAATTGCATGTATAGTTTTGATGTTATAAAAACTGAGTAAAAAGTATATTTTTCGCTATGAGATAATTGAGTTGATACAGCAAAATCACTCAATTATCTCCCAAGCAGAGGGGAGGAATTTACTGTAATGAATGGGAGTGCTTAACTGTGTAACTGTAAATGAGTGGTTGTTAAGTTTGTGTCTTCGGTGCCCAACAAGGTCCACGTGGGTGGTAACCTTGTGGGAAAAGTTGTATAAAAGAAATGCTTGTTCTGCTTAACCCTCAATACATAGCCCTGTCTCGTTATTGAAGGGAACCTGCATCCAGCTAAATCACTAGCTCTTGTAACAGCTCTGCCTCACTCTCTAAACTGATCCAGCAGGTAGGATATCGGGAATACACTGCAGCACAGCCTCTCACCGGGGAAAAGGACATCTCCAAAGGCATACATCCCTCTAACAACCTGGGTGGCCATTACAAGTACTTTTCTCTCACTCTCTCTTATATATATATATATATATATATATATATATATATATATATATATATATATATATATATATATAGATATATATAGATAGATAGATATATATAGATAGATAGATAGATATAGAGATGACTGGGTATATATATATATATATATATATTAATATATATATACCTAGATACCCAGTCCTTTTTATACTCCCCTCACATCCAGTTTTCACACTGCTGTTCCAGGTCAACATGTATCCCTAGTTGGGGATTGTTCCACCTAAAGTTCTACACACTCGACCAGGTCATTGCTCTGTGTGATGTAAGTAGGTTTTATCCCTTTCGCATTTATTGTTTACCTACATATTATACCATTGGGTTTATTTTTGTCTCTTTATATATGATGACCTCTACCCACTTGAGAGCCAAGCAGTGCTGATATCTACAAAGATTCATAGACGGGGATTATTCCGTCCAGGCTCAAGATATAGAGTTTAAATAGCTCTATAAAGTGAAAGTGTTCCTTTGGCACTATAGAAATATCTGCACTATTGTTATTATATATTACACTATTATTGTGTTCTTTTTATTTTAAGATATACACCTTCGGATAATGCTCTCTCCTTTTACGTATGTAATCCATACATTTACCGCTGTTCACCTAATTGTCTTTATTTGCTTTGATTTGTTTTTTACAAGGTTGAGGAAACTCCTTGTTGGTGAAGTGCAGCTATTATCAGATAGAGAGCACTTATCTTTGATTTATTTTACCTATATTAATATACACTCGCGCTACAGCATATATAGCTGCACATGACAGGCAGTAGAAACACGTATATGCACACACTATGGCCCCTATACAAACACACTACCCTGTACACACAAACTACAGCCCGTATTCATTAACATCCTCACTACTTCCCCTGTGCACACACAAGCAAACTACAGCCCCTATACCCACACAGTACACCCTCTATATACCCTTATAGGCAAAAGTACACATATACTCTCTCTCTTCATAACCCCTAGATAGACAGACACAGAATCTTTATAGACCCTAAATGCACACTTATAGCTACTGGAAACACATACACACTAAAATCCTACTACAATCACTAACCACAAATAGTACACCACAAACAAACTGCTTTACATACACTACACCACAAACAATCGCCTCTACATCCATGCGTTGTCAACAGCAAATGCAATCATGAGATTAGATTTGCATTTGCTGTGTAAAACACAGGGCATTGTTTCTATGCAAGAGCTCTTCAACATGAGACATCATGGAAGGCCAGCAAACTAACATGTTCACAAAACCTCTTTGTCTCCACAACCTCCTACTGGGCTTCTCTGCCTTTAAATTCCAGGGCCATTTTTTTTTTTACCAGTCCCTCACTTGCCCACTGTTGCCTCAGTTTCCTGTTCTTAGTTTATAGAAGTGGAACCCATTTTTGGCTACTTGTGTTCACTGCAAGAATCACCATGTTCAAAGACACTCGAATGCACTGTTATTTCATATTCTGTTGTGTTCTTTTAAACTTGAATCATTTTGTCAATTTTCCCATGGCTCCTCTTTATATTTTGTTGTGGTTGAAAATCTCAAGAGAACAGTAGTTTCTGAAATATAAAAACCACCACGTCAGGCATTAGCAATAAGTCAGTGGTCAAAATCATTTGGATCACATTTATCCCATTGTAATAACATTATTGACAGTTATATGCATCAACTAGCCACCCTAATTACTGTTATGTGCCTCAAGTTCAGCATATGTAAATTGTCCTTGCTACTGTTAAATAGTGAAATTATGAGTTAGTAGCAGTATGTCAACATAGCTAAAAGGAACATAGACAGAGTGACCAGATTTTGAAAATAAAAAAAACGGGACCCCCATTATCGATCCAAAAATCGCTGGAAAAAAACACAAAAAACAGAGAAATACATACAGACTCCAAGCCCTTAACCTATTCCTGGCCATAAGTGGCTGTTACAGCTCATCCCCTTCCTGGTATTCAAATGAGTGTCTCTTCACTTACATTTTATGGTAGCATGATCAGAGCACACATACCCTAGACCAGGGCCATCTTAACAGAATAATGCACTGGGGCCCTGCCTACACAACTGCTCACAAAAAAATAAAATATTGATAAAATTAAGTTTACATTTATTGGTACCGCCACCAAATACAAAACATACACACAGACTTCTGAATACACACACATACACAGACTGCTAAATACACACAGACTGTTAAAACATACACAAATACTGATGAATTCACACATACAGAGACTACTGAATACACACACAGACTGCTGTATACACATACATGCTGCTAAATATACATTGTGGGGATATTTATGGGATAATAATAGTAAACAGTGAGAATTGCCCACTAATTCAATTCTCAGATCCCAAAGATCGTTATCGTGTTAAGTGAAAAGTATTTCGTATAAATAAAATCACAATTTGTTATAAAAATAGATTTTATTTTATAATAACAATTAATTAACAAATAATATTATGTAACATGCGTGACAATAATCAATGAATATCCAGTATAAAATGATATGCAATACAATGGAATGGGTATACACATTTCAATGGCTAAACAGCATTTTCTGTCAAGACTTACACGATTTATGAGGTATCCTTACAGACAAAAAGTGAAGCTTTTCACAGCGAAGGGCTATAAAACCCTGGCTAACAGTTAGAATAACCCTTTCAATGCTGGCTAGACCTCCTAGGTAATTAAGATCTATTCTTATGTAATTTTAAATAAAATAACATTTAAACCAGTTCATTAGTAATTTCCTGAAACCATCCAATAAAAGAATAATCTACCAGATTTTTACAAAAGCAGAATTTTAGTTTGTCTAAAAAGATATCTTATCTTATATTAGAGCAAATCAATACACCTGGATAAAAACAGCGGTATGCTAACATGTGATACTATCACATTAATATATAATTATTCTTAATTCCATCTGCAGAATGGAATGTTTATAACTATATATTCTTTAGTTAATTAAGATTTCTTAATATGGAAATCTGACTGTGATTTATCCAGTCATACATCATGCTATTAGTAAATTTTAATTAATTTAATTAATTAAATGAAACCAGTATAATTACCAGTTGAGTAGATATTTCATCCGATTGGTAGATAGTCTCAGGAATTTATTTGGATGTCTGTAGGTGC